GGACATTGCTGCTACAAACACCGGGGTGCAGATGCCCCTTTGGATCACTACATTTGTATTTTTAGGGTAAATATCCAGTAGAGCAATTGCTGGGTTGTAGGGTAGCTCTATTTTCAACTTTTTGAGGACCCTCTGTTTTCTAGAGTGGCTGTACCAGCTTGCATTCCCACCAACAGTGTAGGAGGGTTCCCCTTTCTCCGCATCCTCACCACCATCTGTTTTTTCCTGACTTATTAATTTTAGCCATTCTGACTGGTGTGAGGTGGTATTTCATTGTGGTTTTGATTTGTGTTTCCCTGATGCCAAATGATGTGGAGCATTTTTTCACGCGTCTGTTGGCTATTTGTGTGTCTTCTTTGGAGAATTGTTTGTACATGTCTTTTGCTCATTTCTTGATTGGATTATTTGATTGGGTTTTGAGTTTGATAAGTGCTTTGTAGATTTTGGATACTAGCCCTTTATCTGATAAGATAATTGCAAATATCGGTTCCCATTCTGTCAGTTGTCTTTTGGTTTTGTCTACTGTTTCCTTTGCTGTGCAAAAGCTTTTTATCTTGATGAATAGTTCATCAAGATAGTTCCAATAGTTCACGTTTTAACTTTGTTTCCCTTGCCTTTGGAGATGTGTCTAGCAAGAAGTTGCTGTGGTCGAGGTCACAGAAGTTGCTGCCTGTTCTCCTCTAGGACTTTGATGGATTCCTATCTAACATTTAGGTCTTTCATCCATTTTGAGACTATTTTTGTGTATGGTGTAAGGAAATGGTCCAGTTTCACTCTTCCGTATGTGGCTATTTTTCATTGTACTTTCTTATTATCCTTTGTATTTCTGCAGTGTCAGTTGTTACTTTTCCACTTTTGTTTCTGATTTTACTTATTTGGGTCCTTTCTCTTCATTTCCTTGATGAGTCTGGCTAGGGGTTTATCAGTTTTGTTTATCTTTCAAAGAACAAGCTCTTGATTTCATCAATTGTTCTTTTTTTTTTTTGTCTCAGTCATTTATTTTTTTTTAAATCTTCTATTATTTATTTATTTATTTATTTATTTAAAAGCAAACCCTATGCCTACCATGGGACTTGAACCCATGACCCCAAGATTAAGAGTTGTATGTTGTTCCAACAGAGCAGGCCAGGTGCCCTTCTGTCATTTATTTCTGCTCTGACCTAATTATGTCCTTCCTTCTGTTATTTCCTTCCATCTTGGGCTCTCATAGTTCTTTTAGGTATAAGGTTAGATTGTTTATTTGAGTTTTTTCTTATTTCTTTACGTAGGTTTTTATCATTATATATTTTCCCCAGTATCGTTTGTGGAAAAGATTGACCTTTTGCACATTGAATGGTCTTGGCACATTAGGGACAAAGAAAAAATATATATATTTATATTATACTTATTATAAATAGTAAACTAGACATAGTTGAAAAGTGAAGTTAGTAAATTAGTGGAGAAAATTGAGTAAATCAAGTAAATGAGAAAATTGAGTAAATATGAGGACCATATTTCAGCATGGGGAAATATTTAATATAAAATAGAGGTTAAGAGATATAGATGATTCAACATATTTCTTTTTTTTTTAAGATTTTATTTATTTATTTGACAGAGAGAGATCACAGGTAGGCAGAGAGGCAGGCAGAGAGAGAGAGGGAAGCAGGCTCCCTGCTGAACAGAAAGCCTGATGCAGGACTCGATCCCAGGACCCTGAGATCATGACCTGAGCTGAAGGCAGCGGCTTAACACACTGAGCCACCAGGCGCCCTCAACATATTTCTAATAGGGGTTCTAGTTAGGAATAATGACAAAAATGGTGGAAAACCAATATTTCATGAGTTACTGGTTGAACATTTTTCAGCATTAGCATGAATCCTCAGATTAAAGAAGTGTATTATGTCCCAAACAGGAAAAATAAAGAACACATACATGTAAAAGGGCAGAACCTTGAACAATGTGAATATCTTAAAAGACACCAGAGAAAAGACAGTTTTTAACAAAATCATGAAAAGCAGGCTGACCGGACCTTTTAATCAGTATATGAAAGCCAGAAGACTATGGAAAGAAAAATGTCTGAAATTGTCAATCTGTAATTCTATACACAGCTATTCTGTCATTTCAAATTAAGGGTGAAATTAAAACAATTTTACATATATAAAGTGTCTTACTTTCATCAGGCTGCCATAACACGTACTACAAACTGGGTAGCTTAAGACAACAGAAATTTATTTTCTCATAGTTTTAGAAGCTAGAAGACCCAAATCAAGATGTTGACATTTGCCATTGTCCCTCTAAAAGCAATAGAGGGCTTCTTGCCTTTTTCAGCTTCTGATAGCCAGAAGTATAACTAGAGTCTTCACATGTCATTCTCCTGTCTCTTCATATAGCCCTCTTTCTGTGAAGTCTCTTTGTGTCTAAATTTCCCCTTTTTAGAAGTCATATTGTGCTATGGTATAAATGTTGTGTACCCCCAAATTCATATGTTGAAATCCTAACCCACAAAGGTAATGGCATTAACAGGTGGGACCTTTGGGAAGTGCTTAAGTCTTGAGAATGGAACCCTTATGAATGGGATTGATGCTCTTATAAAAGAGACCCTATAGAGATCTTTCATTCTTTCTTGTGAGAATACAGCAAGAGGTCAGAAGTCTGTAACCCAGAATAAGGCCCTCACTCAACCATGCTGGCACTCTGATCTAGAACTTCCAGTCTCCAGAACTATGAGAAATAAACCCTTGCTGTTTATATAAGCCATCCAGTCTGTGGTATTTTGTTACAGCAGCCTGAAGGACTAAGACATATTGGATTAGGGCCACCCCAAAAACCTTATATCTTGATTACCTCTGTAAAGTCTTGATTTTCAAATAGATGACATTTGGATGTACTTCAACTCATCTTTTTTTGGGGTGGGGGACACAATCAAACCCATCACACAAGGCTAAAAGTTTACTCTCTAAGACTCTTCCAGAAAGAATCTACTAAAAGATTTATTTCATCAGGAAGGAAATTAAACTCAGGAGGAAGGAGTGGTATGTAAAAAGGAACAATAACAAAAATCAGAGAGAAGATTCTTTCTTAAGGTCCCACCAGTCTTAAATAGCGCAGGCAGTATTTGAACCCAGGTTGTCTGACACCTTAGCCTATGTTTCTAACTTGGACATTACATACACCTCTATGAGGAGTGTTTTAAAATCTCATGAGGTAATGTACAGGAAAGTGTATGTTACTTTGAATTTTGATATCAGTCCTTATTTATTAACTATAATTAATGAATTTGATATTCAGTCATTATTTATCAACTGTAATGAAATTCTAAGAAGATCCCAGAGGAGAATTAGACCTTTCTTTTCTTTGCCAAATTAGAGAGAAATGATTGGTTTTCTTCTGAAGCATTCATTCTTACTGAGTGTTTATTTTGTATTTATTCCCTGTGAAGTACTGTAATTGGTATTCTGGGTATAAAAGGAAGAGCTATTACTCCGTAGTTCTTGATTTCCAGAAATTAGAGTTAATAAGAATTTTTTGTGTGTGTGGGGGGGTACACCTGGGTGGCTCAGTTGGTTAAGCGTCTGCTTTCAGTTCAGGTTATGATCCCAGGGTCCTGAGACAGAGTCCTACATCAAACTCCTTCCTCAGCAAGGAGACTGCTTCTCCCTCTGCCTGCCAATCCCCCTGCTTGTGCTCTCTCTCTCCCTGACAAATAAGTAGATAAAATATTTTAAAAAGAACTTAAAAAAATTCTTTTTTTAAAGATAGGAAGTATCATGTACCTGAGAAAGGAACAGATGTAGTTCTGAAGAGAGTTTAGAGGAAAGATTATTTTTGGTATGTGTGATGAATGATACAAGAGACAAAAAAGATAATGGGAGAGGTGGCCTGCTTCCTAGACCTAGAAAGACATAATAATGCTAAGCACATCACCTTAACTGTAACTATTGAGTACCTACTGTGAGCATGATGCTCGGTTTGGAGCTTTTCCTGGTTTACTTATTCCCTAAAATAACCCTGTGAGGTCAATGTTGTTACTCTCAAATTAAATGAGGATGCAAACTCTACTGTCATACAGCTACTGAAGTAGAACCAGACAAACAAGAGCGAACTTTGAATCCGGATCTAGTTGGCTCCAAATTCCCTGCCCTTTCCGCTCTCTCTCAAAATTTTAGAGTAGGTAAAACATCCATTTCTTCCTTTTCTTTAAGTCTAATTACCATTCATCTTCTGGTTTAAATGCCAGGTCTTTTATGGCAGATTCTGAAAATGTGGTCTGCAGATGGACTTGTACCATGTCATAAAGGGAGTTTGGGAAGACACAAACTTCTGGGCCCCAATTTCAGAGATTTCTCAGTACTTAAGTATGGGATGAGGACCAGAAATTCTGTATTATTATTATTTCTTCAAAATATTATTTGAGAAAGCATGAGGCACGAGCGGGACAGAGGTAGAGTCCAAAGCAGACTCCCTGATGAGTCGGGAACCCAAGGCAGGGCTCAATCCCAAGACCCCTGATATCATCACCCAAGCAGAAACCAACAGTCAGGACCTTTAAGCAACTGTGCCATCCAGGCACCCCAGAGATTCTGCATTGGTTTAGTAAATTTGGCCTCTTGAGAACCACTGTGTCTAGAAGGTCTTCCAAGAGATTTCGGTAGAAATAAATTCTTTGTTAGAATACTTCTACTAAAACTGCTGGACTTCTCCATACTGGCATGCCTGAAGCTGAGGCAGATTCTTCTACTTCCCCGAGAGCACAGGGTCCAGCTGAAGTAATGAACACCTGAAGAGGTTTGGGCCCAATGCACATTCAACTCTATTCACCGGGCACTAACGAAGCTATTTGTCAAAGCGCTTAAAACCACGCTGAGAATCTGCGTGCCCAGCCTGATAGATCACGTGAGGAAGACGTAATCTGTATCCGTAAGACTTCCAGAAGACCAGCTAGCCCGACTCGTGCGCAGGCGCAGAAGGAAGGGGGGACCGTCGAACCGCCAAGGCGCGCCCCTCCTCCACCTCTTTCTATCCTACTGCGCAGGCGCACCGAGTGAACAAAGATGGCGGCTCCCGTGGATCTGGAGTTAAAGAAGGTAAAAGAGGGTCCTGAGCCGCCACAGGCTTCTCTTTGGGAAGCTAAGGGGACTGTGGATAAGAATATCGAATGAGACTGGAGTCCTGAGGAAGGCAAGAGGCCACAGGGAACTGGGGAGTGATTTCCCAGAGTCCTGAGGCGGGACTAGGTCTCCTTAGGTTGGTGTGGGGGGCGAGCAACTCTTTCTGGGTAAGAGCCGGTTGGGCTGGTCTGGTTAAGTCTGGCGGGGAAATAGCTGCCCTGTCTTCTCGTTCCGAGCTCCAGAGCCGTTTCGTTGTGTGGAGGCTTCAGTTTCATAGTAAGACCTGAAGTAAGCGTTTCATATTCGAGCCCCTGCGGACTGCTTGCCTGAGCTGAGGCGTCTGTAATTCTAAATCCTCATTTGCTTTAAAAATTCCCAAGTCCACTCTGTGTTTTTACGCCACTTTTCTCGATCCCGTGCTTTGAAAGGTCGCAGTATCTACATGAAGTTCAAAGTTATTTTCAAAGCAACTTTAGTATCAGGGCTTTAACTCCCAGCCCTAGGCCCCCCACCCCCTTCTCCTTTTCTTGAAGGACTTGTCAAAAAAACCCGAAACAGGTCCGTAAAATTTTCCAGATAAAATCGATATCAGAAGGAATTGGGCTTCTCTCTTCAAACAGTTGCTTACAAATGTGCTGTTAGTCAAAAACGTATTCGCCATCTAAGGGTTGTAAGGGTAAGGATCCTGGACTTCATCTACTTTAAACCTGTACTTTTTCTAGAAAAGGAAACTGAGTTCCAGAGAAGATTTAGTCAAAAGTTGGAGCTAGAAACCACTATTCTCTACTTTCTCCGCACCTTTTGATTGTTTAGGTTCTTCAGAAGAGCAAATTTTATGCCTTAATACTTCTGGTCAAGCTTTGCATATGAAATAGGACAGCTGAGCGAGTTGTTGCTCCTAATAAATGAAGCTATTTGTTATTGCCCTGAGGATATATTTATGTGTAACTTGCTCTTTGTCTTCTTTTGAAACTTGTAAATTTAGTCTTTAAGGTGATGTTTTCTAATGCTGCAATATCTCAGCTTGAGCACTATACCAGCTTCCTTAGCAAAGTGTGTACAGGTCAGGTAATTTTACATGCAAAACAATTCATTTTAAGAATTCTTAACCAATTCTAAAAATTTACTTTTTTTTTCTGTTAAGAGTTGAGATGTAAGTCAGGGTTTAGTGAAAGAGCTAACAATAAAATACAGTTGTGAATGGTCTTACCTCCCAGTATTTGAATTTGTTATTAAGAAACCCCTGGACAATGAATGCAAACTAAGAAAATGATTGGAAACTTAAATTGGGTAGTTTTGACAGCTAATTAAATTAACTAAAAAAGAAACTTCTTGTTTAAAGGTTTTATCTTCTAATATCTTTATAAGGTCTTTTGTTGTTCTTGTTGTTGTTGGAGACTAATAGGAAATTTCAGGCACCTGCCTTCCCAAATCAGTTTCGGAAACCTACTAGTAGGGGAGAACAAAGTCAGAAAAATGTTTAGTAGCCTTTGCCATGTATTGCCGTTACAAATATTATTATTAAGGCATAAATTTGACAGCATCTGAAAGTCATTCCAGGCACTTAAACAAGAGTATCCAAAAATTGTTTATCTTTGAGTTAAGTGCACATGAGGGTCAAATTTGGCTTGGTATGTAGATGTGAAGATCATGATACAGTTCTCCCAATGCTTTGAATTTTTTTTGTTTTTTATCTTTTTCTCAAAAAATATTTGTAGTCTGAGTTTACTGTAGGCAGTAGAATAGAAACATCCTGAACTCGGGGGCGGAAGAAATGGATATAAGTACCTGCCTTTCCACCTAATAGTTGTTCAACCCTGTGCAAGTCACTTTTATCTCTAACAAATTTAGTTACTTTAACTTGTAAAGAGTGATGTTGAAACTGCCATCCCTAACTCATAGGATTATTGAGAAGAGTAAATGAGATATTATAATATTCCTTAATGTTCTCATATTAGTATTCCCTTGTTAGTATTTCAAACAAATGTGGGAAAGTGTTTTGAAACCTAGTCATGTAACACAAATGAAGTGAGTCTTACATTTGTGGTTCTTGTTTTGAATCTTAGGGTTTCATACTCTGACTCTCCCATTTATTGTTTTTTATTAGTCCTTGGATACCTGCTTTTTCATATATTATTTAATATGCATTTGTTCTGCTTCAAATAGATTGCATCTTTTGAGAACAGGTTAAGTTCATTATTTAGTATGGTGTCTTGATTGTTTACAATTATATTAACTTTTTTTTTCTTTAAAGATTTTATTTATTTATTTGATAGACAGAGATCACAAGTAGGCAGAGAGGCAGGCAGAGAGAGGGAGAGAGAGAGGAGGAAACAGGCTCCTTGCAGAGCAAAGAGCCCGATGCGGGACTCGATCCCAGGACCCTGAGATCATGACCTGAGCCAAAGGCAGAGGCTTAACCCACTGAGCCACCCAGGCGCCCAATTATATTGACTTTTACTGATGTTTGTGTCGGTAAATTTAACCACTTTGTCTCTGGTTAGCATGCTTTATTTTCATGTGTTTGGATTTGACTTGTGTTTCCTGTACATGTTTCACCCACTAAATCAAGGACTTGTTTTTATTAGGCCTTCACAGAGCTTCAAGCCAAAGTAATTGACACTCAACAGAAGGTGAAGCTTGCAGACATACAGATTGAACAGCTAAACAGAACGAAAAAGCATGCACATCTTACAGATACAGAGATTATGACTTTGGTAGATGAGACTAACATGTATGAAGGTGTAGGAAGAATGTAAGTAAAATATATCCTTAAGGGGCTTATTGTGGGAGGGTTTTTGTATAGAATTTGTTCATTTCAAAACTTGGGTTAAAGTATCATAGTAGTTGTAAGGATCATCTAGTCAATACCTCCTTTTAAAAAATGCTAGCTGAACCCCAGGTAGATGTGTTTAATTTTAGACTTTGAAGTACATTTCTTAAATATTTTCCTGTTCTTCTCTCTATGATCAGGTAGGTACTTAAGTGTGTAACTTTAATGACAAAAATATGATTTGTCATGAAAAGATGTTTATAGTATTTTGTGTGTGCAGATTTATTTAAGTAGTTGTAGTTTTAACTTCCCCTATCCTATCTGGTTTATTAGGAGTCATACAAATCCTTCATATTTTACATGTTTGACTGGTGTTGTAAAATAAAAATAGATTCATTTATCATTTAAATAAACTCATCCTAAAAAAAAATAAACTCATCCTATCATACATGAGAAATCAAGTAAACCAATTTCCCTTTTGCTTGTTCTAGTTGTTATTATCATTAACCACCCACACTGCACTTTTTTTTCTTTTAAGAAATATAGTACCCTTGTGAGGGAGAATAGATGTGCTTCGCCTTCTCTAAGCAGCAAATAAGGAATGGAAAAGCCCCTCACTACAGGTCACATTCCATTACAATGAGCTAAAAGGGGAAGACTGATTTTTTGTTTGTTTGTTTGTTTTAAGTGGGGAAGGTACAAGAGGGTTTTTCTGGAATTTGGTCTTTGAATATTATTTAGTAAGTGGACCGTTACTTCAAGTTTGGAGATCTTTTAGTTGAATGGAATTTGACCTCAGTCTTAGGATGACTTGTTTTGTGATTGATTTGAAGGAAGCATAACATGTGTAACATTTAGTAATGGCTTTGGAATGACATGAGAAGTGGGCCCTGCTCATGACTAGCTACTCCATTTCTTTCTGGAAAAGAGATAGATTATGATAAACTTAATGTGATTTGTTTTCTCAGGATAAACAATATATCACAAATAAATTTTATCTCTATAGTTCATATTTTTCATTTTAGCTTATTTTTAGAGGAAGAGACTTCCTCTAAAGAAACTTTGAGGGTTTGCTTACTGGGACATGAAAGAGTTGGAATGGTAACAAAGTAGAACCCTTGACTATCTATGTAGTATGAGGTGCATTGTTGGCATTCACTACAGGGTAATTTTATCCTTAATGTGAATACCCTTAGGTGTTAAAACAGTTATGCTTGCTTTTCCGTCATGTTTGTTAACATGTTGCACCTGGATTTCATGTCAGAGCATTAGCCTTTGCAACAGTTAAAGAATCTCTTTTTCCAAAAATAGAAAAACTTTTTTGACTGTCTTTGGCCTTTTGAGCTATAATGAAGTTGTTAGTTTTTTTTTTTTTTTAAAGATTTTATTGATTTATTTTGACAGACAGAGATCACAAATAGGCAGAGAAGCAGAGAGAGAGAGAGAGAGAGAGAGAGAGGAGGAAGCAGGCTCCCCGCCGAGCAGAGAGCCGGATGCGGGGCTCGATCCCAGGATCCTGGAATCATGACCTGAGCCGAAGGCAGAGGCTTTAACCCACTGAGCCACCCAGGCGCCCCGAAGTTGTTAGTTTTAATCAAAATAATTTACTAAACATTGTGCAGAAGTGCTAGGGTAGTTGCTTTTTTTGCAAACTGCCCTAAGTGCTACAAATAGGTTGTATTCCGTGCGAAGAAGTCTAGAATTAAAAGGCTAGGATATGATTCCTTAACAGTACAACAGCAGTAGTATTTCCGGAAGATTTATTTCATGTAAAAGAAATACATAGTTTTAAGTGTTTGGATAAAGTAGAACCTACATAGTTTCAAACTTTGGCTTTTAATTTGACTTTTATGCTTTTTGCATCCCATTGGGGTGCAAATTAGACCCTGCATTTAAGGGGCATTTAAGGTGAATAGTGTTTGTTGTTTGGCTAGAGTATTAGTGCCCTCCGGAAGAAAAGACTTGCTGAGTATTAGTCTAAGTATTAGTCTGGTCATGAAGATGGATGTTCTTCTTGATGCTAAACCTGAAATAACTATTTCTGAATTTATAGTCTTGAGTAATCTTGAGTATCATTGTGATTCACTTCTTTAGTTTCAGTCTTTATCTTAATTTTAACTTGTCCCTTCCTTTTTGAGTATTATTTGAGAATTCTAATTAGAATACTAATTTTTCTCAAGCGTTTGTTTTAAAACCATGAATTATAAAAGCCAAAACACTCCGTTTTTGTTTCAGAATCTGCAGTAGATTTGTGCCATCACTGAAATTCAGGCCTCATCATATCTTGCCTGGATTATTGCAATAGTATCTTAATTGTTCTTTCTGTCTTTATTCTCTCTGTCCAGATACAGTCTTCATACTTCTGCCAGAATTGATCACATCTGTATTTTTCATAAAATTCTTTGATCTGTTGTCCACAGGATAAAATCTGTACTTATTATCCTAGCATTCATGTTCATTCATAATCTGTCCTTAATGTATCCCCTACCCTCAAGTCCTGCCACCTTCTGTTCCCACGCTCAGAATAGCACATAAATTTCATGTCATGGACTTAACTTCTTGCTTTGATTTTGGGTTATCTGTTGAGAAGGAGTTTGAGTTTCATGTGGGCTTTAAACATGTTTTAGTTGATTAGTAATGGCTGTCATGGGTGAAGGTAGAAGAGTAGTAAGTAGCACACGTTCCAGAAATGGTTGTCCCTGCTTTTGTCACAGGGCTTTGTCACACACGTTTTTGTGCCTTCTTGCTTTTGCTCATTCTGTCCTTGGCCTGAAGTATTCCCTTTCTCTTGTGAAATTCTTATCCTTCGAGACATAGCTCATCTTCTCTGAAGATTTTTTCTGTCCTCCATGGCAGACTTACTCACACTTCTGGGTGATACAAGAGCTTTTGTTCCTGTGACTAGTACAGCAGAGAGAGAGAGAGAGAGATGATTGATTTCTAAGTGGGTCATTTTCCTCAACTAGATCGTCAGCTCTGTGAGACCATATACAGATTTATGTTTGTTTCCTCAGTTCTCACCATAATGTCTGGCACAAAATAGGTGTTAAGTGTGTCTTGATTTGAAATGAATAGGATTCTTTCTTTTGCCTAAAATAACTGCATTTTCTCTTATTTCTTTAGAAAGAAAATATGTTTGGAAAGTTGGACAATTAAGAATTAGGCTTTCTTCTGTTTTAAAATATTCCAGCAGAGGTGAAATTGTAAAAGTAATGTATTTTGATTAAGGTCAGAGGAGTTGTTTTTCACCAAAATTATGTTCTTTGATTGGACAGGATTAATTCTTTATTAAATCTACTGAGAAAGTTGACTAATTCTAAATGCCAACCATTTGCAGAGATGTTCATTCAGAATTGACGGAATAGAAGAACCTAAGCCTTTAGAATTATGCAGAGGGCAGTATAATCCTTAAAGAATAAAGGCTATTCTGTGCAGAATAATATCAATATAATAGTATTTTTTTTTACCTTTCTCATTTTCATATAGGATAGAAATCAGATTTTCCTTTACAGGGTATGTATTTAGTTTAACAAATCTTGCCAGCCTAGATGTCTTTCAAATCACAAGTATGGAGAAATTTGGTAGTGTTAAATACCTCTTATATATGGCTAATTTTCGTTTTAAACAAGGCGTGAATTGCTATATACTATAAGCTCTGCGTATTCGTTGCTCAAAGCTATAGTCCATCCAGTCACTTGGCATGTTTCCAGCACATTTTAGTTCTCTTACTTCATATTCTTTGGAGAGGCTGTTATGTAGCCTGATACTACTACCACCAATTTCTAGTTTGGCTACTTAAGCTGTTTGTGAGCTGACCTCACCATACTGCTTTGAGAACTATGATGAAAGTTACAACTGTGGAATGATCTGTCTGAATAGTTGCAAGTGTTTGTCTTTGCATCTTTCTAGCATGCAAGGAGGGAATAGACATAGTCCTCAAATACTACATGAATGTTTCTTGTATCTTTTTTTTTTCCTGAATAAGAACCAGTTTATAATGGTTTATGGGGGTTTTCTTCCCTTTTACTTTGCACATTAGAAAATAAGAGTTTTTTAAAAAATAAGAATTACATTTGAAAGTGCATGTAAAGGACATTTAACCATGCTGGTATTTGAAAGGACCATAATTAGAATAAATGTCAGACTTACTTTTATTAACAGTAGGTATGATCCTGACCCTGATGTCAAGTTTATTATTCTGTAATTTTAATGTCCTTTTACTGGAGCATTACATAAACTTTTTTTCAAAAGGGACAAATTAAGCTTTTAATTTTTTTAATATGGGAGGAACTTGAGTAGATTAGCCTTTGAGAAGAATGATTAGTGCCTTTTTAAAACTTGAACCTAACTAAAAATAACTTTGTACCATATTTAAACCAATTTAGGGGTATGCCACCATTCTGTGGGTATTTTTTACATTTAAGGAACTAAGAATGAACAATGCTATAAATCTACCAACTAGATAAGTGTCTAGCAATGCAGAAATTGCTGTTTGGGAGCGGTGTTGCTATTTCTACTTGTTGAAGTAATCTGATGGTTGATCTCCAATGGTTGAAAGATCCAGAAATGTAAAACCTAAGATAAATGTGGCACAGGTAGAAAGTAAAAACAGTAGATATATTCCTGATAGGTAACAAATTAATATCAGCAACAAAAATCTAAACGGTTGAGCAACTTTTCAACTATTTAGGATGTAGTAATCTGAAGTCTCCATGACAGCTTGTTTGAAATGCCCTTTGTTTAGAATACTGTGTTGCTTTTGTTGTGATTTTAATTGTTAGTTTGGATGTTGACCTGTAATCTGAAGCCAAGTTGAAATATTTGCTCTTTCTGTGTTTCGTTATGTTAAATATTAATAGAAAGGGACATAGTCATGGTGCCTCAAGTTTTGCAACAATTTTATGATTTCGTGTAGCTGTAGAGTTGGTATTCCAGTCAATTTGGGGTAATTTTAAAGCTGACAAAATAGTACTAGATTAAGA